GAATAGAGTGAAAATGCACGAGATAAGTGGACAGCCCACCATTTTTCGTGTAATTTTGACCAGTTACGAAAATCCAAAACATAGGTTGTTTCGATCTTTCAAGTGCGTTTTTCCGGTATAATAAGACACAGCTAAACACTCAAGTACTTTAGTCAAGCTACATTTGGAGTTCTCGATTGAAATGCAACCCGCACCCTGTAGTCTACTACAGAGAGTTTTATGTTTGTTGCCCCTTGAATAAAATGATTATGCACGGGATAAGTGGACATCCAATCACTTTTTCGAGTAAAGGTTTTTTTCAAAATTAAGATATTAAGTAATCACCTTTCACACATCCAGCAGTAGAAACTAAATATGTAAATCTCAACGAGCTAAAAACCAGTACGTCATAAAGTCTCACGTGAGAATACTTACTACGGCTCATTTGATGATCAAAGGTCTCATACATTTTTAGTCGCACCGGTGCAATATTTCGACGTACATTGTGTTAGCGATCTTTCATATTGGATTAAATGACAGACAATCAATATAAACGGTGCGAGCATTCCAATTCTAGCCACATGAACTCTGCAAGAGGTAAGATTTTAATAGGCATCTGCTATTTACTGTGTTAGGGTCAATCAAAAGTATGTGATAGCCAAATGTGGCTTGCGAATGTGGCCAATTTTTGCTCTGAAAATTGTACTCTTTACCTGTTGCTCTGTATTGTAGTGGTTCTTGAAGTCTAAATGAATTTGTAATTTGACCGCATCTGCAACGCGAGATGCTAATGTCACAAAAGCCGTCAATGTAAAGGCCTAGTCCAGACTGAATTCGATACGCATGATCATGTTTTTTTCTCGTACGTTGTGGTTACAGCGGTACAGATTAGGCCAAACGGTTTATTCAGGAAGTTGAATGAGATAATGATTTTGGCACATATAGTAGTATTTGTGTCAGCACTTCTCTCAATGCACAAGACAAAGCCCAAATGATCAGCATTTTGCCTGTTACCCGGTAGACAGACAGTTAATATTCTTACTCAGGAAATGTCGAATGGTTTTAGGCTTGAAAAAATATTTAACTATTTGAAGAAGAAGAATCGAGCACCGGAACAATTCGTTTATTATCCTGAGCTTTCAGACTCGTACAGGAGTCCATCGTCAGAGGTAGTGGCAGAAACAGGACAAGCGGCAGTTATAAGGCACGTAGACCCAATCATCGACCGACGTCGCACGACTGGAGGTGACTACGAAGGGCTCTGTACGCCGGCGCCAGATCGATAAATCGATTGACCGAGTTCTCATCCGAGGCCCAGGCTTCAATCAATTCTCGGCCTGTTTTGTTTCTGGCGTGGGCGACTATTTTGGTGGCTGCGAAGTTAAACTCGTGACCCATTTCGTAGGTGTGGGCAGCCACTTGTGACAATGCGTCGCCTCGCCGCACAGCCAGCTTATGTTCATGTATGCGTCCAGTCTGTCCTGTGTAATTACAAGGACAATTTTGACACGGAATGCGATACACTACTCCACATTGCTCTTCGGGTTTTAACCGGTCTTTGATCTTCATGACCCTGTTGCGCATGGTGGCTTTGGGGCGGTGTGCGATTCCAACCCCTAGCTCCGCAGCAATGCGCTCGGTCGCTTCTGAAACACCCTTGATGTATGGCAGAGCATGCCATATCGTCGGTGGCGTTGATGTTTGAGTTCTCTGGTGGCGACCGCGTAGGCAGCGACTTATGAATGCCCTCGGATAGCCATTTTGCACAAACTGGTCGCGGAGATAACGGGCCTCACGCGCTCTGTCTTCCAGTTTGCTGCAATGAGTTTGGATCCGTTTGAAGAGCGTCTTCACACAGCTTCGTTTGTGAGCCACCGGATGGTTGCTGTGTAAACTGAGAAGCTGTGTGGTGTTCGTTGCCTTCCTATAAACCGTCGTTTCAAGTTCACCGTAAAGGTTTCGTCTGACGAGCACATCCAGGAAGGGCAACTTCTGCTCCTGTTCTTCTTCTCTCGTGAATTTTATATCCGGGAAGACTGCGTTGAGCAGGCTGTGAAAATGTTTCAGCATGTCCTTCTTTACGATGACGAACGTGTCGTCAACGTAACGTCGCCAAAACACCGGTTCATGTTGGAGGAAGGCAATCTTTTCCAACTCCTGTAGGACCAGTTCTGCCACCAAACCGAAGACTGGTGAGCCCATAGGGGTTCCCTTGATTTGTTCATAGGTCTCTCCCGCCAAAGTGAAGAAATTTTGTTGGCAGAATTCAAACAGCCTCATGAGGTGTTCAATTTTGAGGGCATTCTGAGTCTCATCGTACGCCTCTTCAAGTCTCTTGCGCAAGACTTCGCGGGCCACGTTTGGTGGGATAGATGTGAATAGCGACGTCACATCGAAGGAGACCATGACTTCGTCCGATTGAATTCTCCGACCTCGGAGGTCTATGAGGAATTGAGAGGCTGATCGAACTGAGGAAGTCGAATTGCCTTGGAGGAACTTCAGTTTTGAGTACATCACTTTAACTATGATTGCAATATTAACTAGCATGCAGCAAAATTCCATCATATGCTACTTACTTTAGGAAGCCTGCTTACAAACGACCTTCTGTCCGACCGCCGTCGAAAACGGTGTTCTGAAAAGAAATACGTATTTCTTTGCATAACTGTTTATTGACTTTCAATACCCCAAATTTTTCAAAAATATCTTATAAAAAACGTGATTATACATTCTCCTAACCTTTCTCATTTTGTAAAATACCGTCGTTTTTTATGAAATTCTTGATTGACGGTATGTTAGAATACGGTGTTATATAACTTTTCCGTTTCATGAATAATTGAAACCCGACCTCCTTTCTACTTGCATTCCTGGATACAAAATTATTAGCTGTATATTTTCCGCATACGGAAACCGCCCAATTTATTTACAGTTTTAAGAGGGGACCATATGGTTTTCATCACACTCGGCGATAACTTTAAATCGCGTTGAATATCTTGGAGTCAGCATTAGTAAATGCAGCGACATGATGTTTTATGAACGTCCATTGCACGGTACATACATGTCTTAAAATTGGAAATTTTTTAAATCCGTATTATATCATTTTTAAATTAGCAACTTACGTAAACGCATTTTTACTACTTGTGTAAAAAGGCATATGAATATACAGGTTTTCTAAAGGCATGTTTGAATATTTGCCTGCTGCCAAAATCAAAGAGTAAACGTCATGCTACCTACGTAGTCATATCATAACAAATTCGGTTTTTGTTTGCAACCCAAAGGACGTTCATTTGAAAGCTGCCATTCGGAAGTAACCATATTATTATAAACCGTTGCTGTATGGGGTAAATATTACAACACTAACTAAAACTACTTTTGTTCAAAAACTTATTTAAAAATTTCAATTGGCACTTTATTACTTAACACATCTACTGTACTCAACTCAGCATGTATCGTATCTTTTAAATCTGAAAGCGGATATGAAAACGACTGTTCTAAAACTTTGGGGAATCGAAGCCATTTAGGTTAAACCTATTATGTTTCATATGGTATGGAGTAATTCCAAGTCAGCTGATCAGAAACAACCCATTTTGTACTGATTACGTTTTAGAATTCGTCTTGGTCAACGTAAAATTTACAATTCGGTAGGCCATTCTATATATGATCAGATACAAGCCACATAACTGTTGACTCCAGCGACTTTTCATTGGTGTAATTAGGTGTCATCGTGCTGGTTTGTTAACTTAACAACTATAGTAGAAGTACTAACACATGAAATGTTGAACAAGGTTGTGCTATTCGTTTTCGACTCTAAAATATTAGTAGGGTTGTTGACTGTGGATTGTGGTTGACTAAGTACGTTTCGGAAGCTGTCGAACGCCTTCTCACACCACTTGGTGTTGGAGTTGCACACAGACCGGATGCAACCATTAGGCGTCAGGTAATAAAACCGAAATATCCGCTGCCATGGCCAGAGACGTCTGGAGTCGTTTATCGGATCTGGTACAGTTGCGGACAAAACAACTACGTCGGAGAAACCGGAAAACAACTCCAAACGCGAATGGCCGAACACGCTGCAGCGGTAAGGAGAAATGACGGCAGCTCCCAAGTTGCGGCTCATTTGACGAGATGCGGCCACATTAAAATTAGACGAGGCCGAAATTCTCGCAAGAGGTGACAACCGTGTGAACAAAGAGCTACTTAAATCAAGGTTTTCGGGCCTCCAGTTAGTAACAAGTGCAACGAACTTCCCCTTCCATACTGTGTCCTGAAACCTTGCCTAGGCGGAGTAATTGGCCACAAGGGGAACGCACATGTAAACACTCTTCCCAACAGCAGGGTCGATGCGTCAGATGGTCGAGCAACCATCACATCAGCATAAACGCACGTGATGGAATTGCAGCAATTAACGACGCCAACGTCGGCCACCAAGCCATTAACACACCACGTGCAACGATCCCGGATGAAGGGAGGGAGCCGCGAATAGGAATGCGGTAGCATGGCAACTGCATCCTATAAATACTGCAGCCCCTGGTGCATGAATCACCGTATCTGCGGTTGTCTCGGATGATGGGTTTAGTCATTAATCCGAAACGTCAGGCTGATATAGATTTTGTCCCATCGATCGTGTCTCCATCTTCAAGACTACTTTCTGAGACTTGTCTCTTCGCTTCTGTTGGCAGAGGTTAACTCGGTAGTCACGCGTGTTAGCGGTTTTGGTAATTGCTTTTTTCTTAAGCAAGATAGGCACTTCAGTAATATTTTTCGACTTTTATCAATTAAAATGTCTTCTTTTAGCCAAATCACATGCAATTTTATTATTGTGCTTTGCTTGATACATTTGGTTCTGCTCGCGAGCCTTAAGATATGATACTAGTTTTACCATGAGTAACTGATGATGGGATGTTATAATGCAATTTGCAAAGTACGTTGGCCTGCATGTATAAATAAATTGCAGGTGGATGCGACTAGGTGTCCATTAATCGCGACTCCCCTCACGTCATCTATATATCTGTGAAACAGATAGAAACATCTGCCAACTCAGGCCACACCCTTTATGAGGCTGTCTTGGATAGATATTTAGCTTAAAACTGTGTGTGAAGAAGTGGTAATGTTTTGGTCGAAAGATGATAGTCTGTGCTCTAGTGTTCGCGATAAACTCTCTCTAATATACTCCAGCGTTCTCTGGAAGACTTTCCATGTGCTGCCAACTTGACTCGTTTCTGCCAATCAGACAAGAAAAATGCACATGATTAATGTTTCTTCTATAAGCTGTTTTTTGATTTTGAATGAGAAGTTCTATTAATTGAGCGTTGTTAAGTCTGATTTTTTAACCACCGAACAGCGTGCCATCGCTATATCGCCGCGATTGGATTTGCTTATCACAGTGTGCCTTTGGTCTCAATACGGAGCCTTCGCAGGCAGTCAAGCGGCGACAAGGAAAGACGTTTTAGCAATTTGACTTCAATTATTAAACATCCATCCGTTTGGGTTAAATTATTGCCAACATCTCGAAAACGAAACATTGGCTTAAATTTACTTGTCACTTAGAAAATATCGGCCGATTATTTGGCTGTTTACGCTGCCGTTTGGCAAATGGAAGTAGGTGTTGTAGGATATTGAACTTTAGGAATTGTTTTTATTCCCGTTCCATCTTAGCTACTTCGTGTTTGCATTAACATGTCTCAGACGCTTCCGGGGAGCAGGTTAATTCTGCAGACACGACTGATAGCTAATTTAGTTATTCGGCCTCTTTTAAAACGATATATATATTCAACTAAACTTTTGTTGACCCCGTATATATGGTTTAAGCATACATTTAGCTAAACACGTGCAGATTTATCAACAACGTTTGTTTGATGCATTTGACCTGGTATGTGAGCCTTATGATATGGCAATAGTGTTATTGTGAATAACGGATTCTGGGATGTCTTTACACAATTTTTTGAAATAAAGGTGATTTTTTAATATGAAATAAACATTAATAGTGTATGTAAAAAGGTGCAGATTAATCGTAATTCTGCATATGTATAACACGCAGAGACCGACGCCGAAGTACTAGCAGAACGTATCAAAAGTCAGCCAAACTACATCGAGCGCTGTATGAGGTAATCTTGACCAGATATTCATCTTAAAAACGATTCGTCAAGAAGTTACAATGTCTTGTAAGAAACACGAACCGCTTTCTATGGTGTTCGATAAACTCTCTGTTATGGACAGGAGCGCATACGGGAAGACTAACTATGTGCTGCTTAGCTGAGTGTTTTCTGTCACGCAGACAACAACAATGCGCATGATTGATTTTTCTTCCCTCGTCTGTTTATTTATTGGTTTTCAGTGAGACTTTTGTCATTCTCTTTTGAGAACCATTCTGGCTGACGTAAGCATATCTTTTCGAATCTTAACAATACTGACAACTGCGCAATGTTCCCTCAACCGTTGAAAGTAATCATTTGTAATCCAACCGTAATCAGACATTCGCTGGAACGTCAACATTTATTTTAGGGTGTAAAGTTACAAACGTCATCAAGTCAACATTTCTAATAGGTTCCAACTGGATTGGGGAAATTGGTCGTACAATAACCTTCATGACTTGGTGTATTAGGTCCGGTTTTGGGGCATGAGGGAGTTTCTATGAACCCACATGCAGCTACAGAAGTAAGTCAGTAATTGAATTCTACTGACATTGTTGATTGTTTTGTAGTTGATGCAAGAACGAATAAGTAGTGTGGTATTCAATTAAGTCTGCCTATATACGTTTTAAGTCTCACCCGTCTACTGGAGCCACCGTTCGTGCGGATAATGCAATTGTTTGTCACTTATTGTAAGCTCTACAACAAAGACTGAGCGTGCTTTGCTATTAAGACCACTGAAATGCAATATATACCTACCCACTCTTCACCACGAACACAACCAGTAAACCGCTTATACTTAGCGTCCACTGTCAGTGATAATCGCTTTAAGACAGTGTGATTTAGACGTTATTCCGAGCAGAATCCATACGAAGTGTCGCCTAAAAGGAACGTCTGAGATATGCAGGGCCACGATAATTGATCCTCAGACCAACTGCCAGTTTGAGGTGGCAAGGTGCATGGCTTCAGACCAAAGTAGGCCTAACCTGATGTCTAATGTCTGGGCTGCGAGGAAGCTTACGGCGTTTACTGTCAGTTAACCGTCTTTGAGCACATTTAAGACAGAAGACACACTCGTACTCCAGCTGCAACTTATAACTGCTGCTTAATCGCAGAGAATAAATTGCAGCGGGACTACATTTCAATGTGTAGGCTTTTTTCACAAACAAAATTTTTTTCGCCCACTCCCCATCGCAAGCATCCTCCTGTAACAGCCATTGATTATAAGTTTAAGGAAAATACTTAGTCTTTCACTCATTTGTTGTTCAATTATGTCTTCGTGAAACGATGGGCTAAATGAAAGAGTGTTAGGTTCCGAATACATTTGAATTCGATCTGCAGTTACAATTGCAATTTGGGTTCACAAGCACATGCCGTATGCCATTATTA